GGTGCGGCTGTAACCAATCCAAGTTGAGATGTAATAGAACTTTTAATAGAACTTTAAGTCATCATATTTTATATTTGTATAGTAGTAGCTTGTAAAAATTGCGCAATTCAGTATTTTACTGCGATGTGATTTTAAAAAAACCAGTCTATCTATCAGTCTATCTAGGTCAGCGAAGGGGTGAGAAGTTATGAAGATCGTTGTGAAATGTTACATTGATCGAAGTTGGCTGATAGAAGGCTATATTGTTCCTTAGTAGAATGCTTTAAACTTGTATTCGGGCTGAATGGCCTTCATTTTAGGGATTTTTTTTTTAGTTTGCTTCAAAACGTACTAGGTCCAACCACAATTACAAACTGCAGGTGAAATTGGCAAACTGTAATTGTTATAAATACTCTTTTTTTTTGTTAAAATCATTCGTGAATGGAATGGCTTTCGCGCCAATGTCGTTGAGATATGTAACTTAACACGTTTCAAAACAGCTCTTAAATTATACATGCGTATTTTCTAGGTTTTTATCTGTCTTAGATTTTATTACGAGCATACATTTTTAAATTTTATTTCTTTGGAAGTTTTATTTACATAGGGTTAACCTCTTAAACTTCCTTCTTAGGGTATTATTTGTGTTTTTTATTTCTTTAATACCTTAAATAAAGTAAGTATGTATGTATATGTGTAAGTTCTGATAAGTCTAAGATGCGCTTATTACTATTTCCTGTAAAAGAAATCCTATTTTAGCATCTCTTTTTCAGGACGTCCTGATTAACAACTTTGTTTTGATCCAAAAAGGGTCTCAATGGGGCTAATCGTTATCCGTAAAATCACGAAAAATTTAGCCGTTAGTCGTGAAAAAATGACGAATTTTAACCGTTAGACGTAAAAGAGTTAAAATCTGAGCAGTAAAAGTCATCACTCCATTGAGACCCTCTAAAAACCCGTTTATAAAGTCATTTACTTCGGCCCAATATACAGATCATGTCGATAAGCCGTGCATTTCGCCCTCGCAAAGAATTGAAACAAAATTTACGCCAAGGCAGCGCTTACGGTTCATGGGATTCGCTTTGCTTCATTAACCAAAAACAAAGCCAACACAGAAATCTTTGAACCGCTGCCAAGAGAGGAACTGGTTACTAGATTCAAGTCGACATTACTTGACAGAGAGTCCACACCAGGTTCCACACACGGTGGCTTCCCAGAGTTCTTAGCGGAACCCAGGAATAAACCACAATTCGTTTGCTATAACAGTTGCTTTGAAATCTCACTTGACTTCGTAGTGCGCGTGATAACGAGGTAAAAGCAAAAATTATAAGAGACCATTAAACAAGAAGTCACGCCCATACCCCTGAATGATTGTACACCCAAGCTTCTTGAGCATAAGCAATAGACCTTTTTAGCTGTTTGGTCACGTGGTTTGAAATGGGTAAACAAGAATTCACAATGGTCACAGACGACATCTTTTAGACGCAATCTCTTCTCTTGTCAAAATTGTCAATTCCACAGACAAATCAGCACTAAAAAGGCTGCGGTAATGTAGATATCGGCGCCAATCAAAATGGAGTCGGTAACTAAGATTATAAAAAACCTTAAGTTAAGAAAAAAAAACTTGTGAGTACACGATCTTTATAGATCGAAAAAATTTAAATGAAAATGGCACGAAGGGAAGCAAATGTTTTACCAAAAAGTTTCATTTGGCTTTTGACTTTTCCCTGCCTTCTTTCAAAGATATTAATTTTCCCGACTCAGAATGAAATTTCCGGACTTTTTCTAGGTTTTGAAGTAGTTCAATTGAGCCTGAATTTTCCTGACTTGTGACAACCATGCTTAACATTATCATGCTGGAGAAGAACCACAGTGACTATTTCTTTTCGGAATAGCTTCTTGTTGACCTTAAAAAGACCGACGCCATCTTTCAAAGTCCTATTTCGGCTGTCTGCAAACTTAAAATCCTCGACGTCTTCGAAATGTTCAGAGCATACTTCGGCTCAAGATGTTACTCTTAAGTCTTAATTTTGATGTTGTTCAGTATATTCTAAAAGTCCATATCTGTTTTAAGGAAAACCAAAACACAACCACGACATTTAAAAGTCGAGACGAGACGAAATTATTTTCCTGGCCATTTACTCATGCAGTTTAAAACACAAATTCGGCAACTAGTTGTCGAAGAAGTATACTTAACTTCTGAAGCTTAAAATACCTATAATCTGGGTATTTATGACAAGACAAATCCGAGTTTGAGTATATATTGCGGCAGTTACAGACGCGACGTTAGTTGACCATTTTCTACGATTCGCAGTTAATTTCTTATGGCCTCGACTGTTATTTACCCATTTGGGACCCGAATCTATGACGTAGTTATGACGTATGAAGCTAAAAAGGGTTTATTGGGTACCTGATTAGAACAGTCATTCACTTTGAAGACTGACCACTAAAGCGGAAAGTGTCTCGACATAATCTCGATCAAACTTAGCTTGTAGGTAAGTCTCGTTTGATATTTGATTTTGGAGAAAGATCATCGCTTTTTCGCCCTCCGTTTATTCCCAGAAACAGACTTAGCTAGTGTTTAAACGAGGGAAGTGTAACTTTTTGTTTGGGCAACCGTAAAATATGCAGTAAAATCTACCAGTTAACTTCTCTCGTTACATACGGTCATCGCGTTAGGTTTATTGTGAAATCGTCATCGTGCAATGGTCTCGAAATTAGCCATAAATCGCGAGGAAGTAACTAAGCAAAGCCTTTCCGGTTAGATTTTTGAAGTTTTATTTCTAGCGCAATGGTCTCGAAATTAGCCATAAATCACGAGGAAGTAACTAAACAAAGCCTTTCCAGCTAGATTTTTCAAATTTTACTTCTGGCTTATTTCTTAACTTATTTAGACAAAAGAGCTCAACCTCAGCTAACTCGAGGCAGAAGGAGATTGAGATGGTTTGAGGTAAATTTCCAGGTGCCAAAATTTGTTTATTTCCGAAAGACGGTAACAAGTAGAGAAACAGACTGTCAATACAAGCTCGCAATTTCAATATAGCTAATCTGGTGCTGATTCGAGACCATTGTGCGTTGAAAATCTCACAAATGCAAATCTTGAGTAGGGAGAGAAGTTTTTACAGTATATTTTACGACTTATTTCATAGTTTTTCCAACAAAAATGCCTTCCATCGTATCAAAATTGCCTTAACAATTAGTCGATTTCTTATAAAAGTGATACAGATTCCAGCTGAAAAAACGTAAGGAAAGGGAGTCTTTGGATTACATCCTTGTCGGGGGGAAATTTATTAATTGGAGTTCCTTTATTTTACGATCTACAAGGCAAATATAAAAGCGCGTCTTATTTTGTACGTTTCAGAGACAGATATTCAAAGCCGAAGATAAAGAAATCATTTGGTCCCTAAAAGTATTGCACGAGTACTGTGGTTTCAATCTAGTAAGGACATAAGAATGACCATAGAATCAAGTGGATAACGGGAAGTCCCGTTCGATCATCGATTGAAATGTGGTGTCTGAAAAAAAAAAAAGAAATGATGTCTACAAACACCCCCAAACATTCTCTAATCTTGATAACCTCCAACGAGCAAGATATCATTGATTTTTTTTTTTAAGACTCTCCAATTTACGTGTGCGGAGTACTTTCCGAATCAGATGTCAAATCAAAACGTCGCGCGCTGTTTTTACTTAATCAAACAAACAAAAAAAGAAAGGAAACAAATCATGTGCGAGTAACGAATTCTTTTTTTGGCAGTATCCAGCTGATCGATTCGCTCTTATTCTTCACGTGGTGTTTATTCACCCTCAAAGGAAATTCTACATACACATTTTAAAAGTCGTTTCCGATTCGAATTTAATCGGGGGTGATAATCATTTCTGTCAAAATATATAAATTTACAATTTATGGAGCGCTTCCGCTCCTCTAAGCACTTTCCATTATTAAAGAGAGAAACCGTTATTTCGAATAAACATGAAGTGCTTGAAAATTTGTAAAAGCTGACATTCATTAGGCGTTTTGGTCACGTACTGTTGAGGATAATGCGAGATAATTACACTGTAATGTGGAGACGATTTTCGCTGCCATCGTTTGCTGTGAGTTTCGTAGAATGTCAGGGCTTTCTCTTTTGACGAAGAATCAATCTGAAGATTAATAGGTAGTCTTTCATATTATTCATATTTAGGGTTCTGAAATAGTTGATAAATAACTTTGGCGCTACGCCAGTGTGGGCTATTACAGGATTATTTGGTTTTATTAACTAAGGTAATGACGTAACTTGGTCACCGAAAAGAGTTGCGAAAGCTGACGATTCGAGCGCTGGCCCTTCGATTCGTAGTAGAGCTACACACGAAACATTAGCTTAAGAGACTTTACTGTGGCCAATTTACATTTCAAATCAGCTGATAAAACCAGCCTATCTTAAAAGATTAAACTGGCTACATATGCCAATCTTAAATTAATTGGAATCTTCTTATGCTAAGTGAGAGAAACATAATGAATATAAACAAAAAGTAACAACAGGAGGACAAAAGAACTTAAACATTTCTTTCTCGGGGTCAATACCTTTAAGCCTCTAATTAAAACGAGTAGCTTTTGTGGATGTTATTGTCTAGTCCTAGTGGACTTTTTAGATGCAGCAAAGATTGATATCTCCTGTAGAATTGATATTGATTCAACATCCCTTTTTGATCTTGATTAACATTGCAGCCGGACTTTATTTGATTAAAACTGGTCCGCAATATCAGTAATTCAATAATTAAGCTAAAAGTCATTTTAAATATTTGTTCTTTTAGTCTACTATACTGATCATGTTGGTAAGTCGTGTCTTTCCCCCTCACCAAGGAAGCCAAATATACGCCAGGGCAGTGCTTATGGTTCATAGGATTCGCTTTGCTTCAATAACCAAGGACAAAGCCAACACAGATATCTTTCAACCACTGCCAAGAGAGGAACTAGTTACTAAATTCAAGTCGAAATTACGTGACAGAGAGTTCACACCAGGTTCCACACAAGGCGGTTTCCCAGAGTTCCTAGCGGAACCAAGAGATTCCTTTCCACTTGGTGTACGCGTCCCCAATCGTGACCAGGCCTCCCTCGCTGAATTGACTTCAAAATGTATGGAATTCATGGAAGAAAATCATCCACAGTGTCCAGCTATTTTGTTTCGTGGCCTTCCAGCCCGAACAGCCGGTGACTTCTCGACTATTGCTGGTAAAATTTCAGGGGAGCCTTTTTCGTATGAAGTCGGTGGCAGTACCTATCGCCAACAAGTTGACAAAAACTTATACCTCCAGCGATGAACCACCAGAAAGTACTATGGACCCGCACAATGAGATGTCTTATCTCAATACTTGGCCCAAAAAGGTACATTGTCCTAAGATGTAAATTGTTTTCGTAGTAGTTGTTTTTTGTTGTTGTTGTTTTCGTTGCCATGTTGCATGACAAGACTGAAGCAAAGCTTCATAGTAGGCTACCCTCGCCCATGCATCCCTGACCGTGCGCAAACATTGCAACAAGATGAACAGGATAAAGCCCTGTTCCGAAATATTTGTGTAGGGCCTTTATCCTATCCGAAAATCAGCACTTATTGAATGAGGTTGAGCATGATATCATGAATTATCAATGCCGCGGTCTGAGTTATCCGCTGAAGTCGAACACAGACGCGAAGTTTGATAATTCATGATATCATGCGAAAACTAAATTCAATAATTTTTTTTATTTTACATTTTTTAAACAAGCTGCAAAAGACAAACTTTCTCTGTGAGTTTGCAAAAGTTTGAGAACACTTCACGGACGAGGGGCTTGGAAACTTGGCAGACTTAAACTCGACGCGATAAACAAATCTGCTGCAAATATTAAGTTATCATGTCAACTTCACACGCTTGTGTATTTTGACTGTTTGCTCTCGACCAATCAGATTTTTCATTGTAAGTTTAAAGTAGGATAATTTTATCTTTCTTCAGATTTTCTTTTACTGCATAAAGGAGGCGGACGATAACTGTGGTGGCGAAACACCGTTGGTCAAGAACAGCGAGCTTCTCTCCAAATTGGATCCCGAAGTTGTGACGAGGTTTGATGAGAAAGGTGTGCGATATGTACGATATCTACCTGATAAAGCGCACGATGAGTACATGAATTGGCAACACATGTTCGGCACTGAAGATAAACAGGTACTATTTATCTTGTTTAAGGGGATAACTATCTCTGTGATACTTTGTAATTATATTCAGCAAGGCGTGTTCGAGAAAGGCTTTTTCTCTCGTAGGCTATGACCGATCAGGACTACTCCTGGCATATATCCACATTTAATTATCAGATCACGAACTAAGTAATATCGCTATTCTATTTTGATGTGTCCGTCCATTACTCCAAGACTAGAGCACGCTGAGGGCAAAAATACATCACGCCTTCTTGTTTTGCAAAGAGAATTTATCCTAAAAGGAGAGCAAAATTCCTTTCAAACCCTATTTTAGCTTGTAAACAGGTTCCCATTGGCACTGCGATAGGAGCGGCGAAACAGATTTCGAACAGGTGAGAGTGCGAAATTACAGGGTTATTCTCCTTGTGCTATTATGGACCTCTCTTCTTCGTCGCTTGTAATAAAAACGCCCCAAGTACTTTACCAACATCCAATCATTTTGACCTTGCGCTTTGATAAATGACGTAAATTTTCAGGAAGCCGAGAGAGTTGCTGAAGACAAAGGGTATCACGTGAGCTGGAATGAAACACAGGATTTATGTCTTTGGCAAAACAGACCTGCGTCGATACAGCATCCGCTGGCCAGAAATAAAATTTGGTTCAATCAGATTGCCGCCATGCACAGCTCATATTACCATGCATTACCCACCTTTATTGGGAAAGGTATCCCGGATGAAAAATGCCCTTCCCACACATATTATGGAGACGGAAGTCCGATTGAACCGGAAGTAATACAGCACATACGAGTAACAACCTGGTCATGCGCAGTTGGTTTTCAGTGGCGAACGGGAGACTTACTGGCATTGGATAACTTAGCCGTTCAGCATGGTCGCATTGGTTACAGTGGCGAGAGAAAAGTACTTGCTTACCTCACTGGCTGAAGTGAAAATTATCTGACATTTGCTTGATGGCTGAAGTTCTCAATTCCTAAATCTTTCGAATATATTCAAATATACCCAAATCTGACTGACTTTTATTAAAACTTACCTGGCCTGTGTTTTAAGGGAATGCGCATAAAGGACGATTATTGGCGCCAGATTACTCCCCCATCCATGTCAAACTTTTTATATTGCTATGGTTTGCCTCGTTTGAAGACAATGGCGCTATTGTCCGTTATCCAGATTTGAAGACAAAATTTGGGTTGAGGGAGGGGGAGAAGTGATTGATTGCCAATGTACAAAGGGTCTCGCTGACTTCAAAGGTTAGTTGGTTACGACCAATTTTCTTTCTTGTCTACGCTTCATGCTGGAAATTGATTTTTCTCCTTCCTTCCCTTTTTTCTGAGTCAAGCTTCTCACAGGTACGTTATTATCCTGCGTGTAGTTTGCGATTCCTTTTTTTAGGGGTTTCTAAACCTGTTGTGAGTGGTTTAAAACAAATTTTCAGAAGTGGAAACCGTTTAATTTTATAAGAAAGATTTCCAGAGTTCTCGTGTCATCTCCAGTTGAAATTAACTCATGCAAACTTCATTTGTTATATTGAAGATGAATGAAGAACTTCATTTCCTATAGAAATAACTGACGTTATGTCTTTTCTTAAAATTATAATGCATCCTCTGCTATCCAGACCTTTTGTCTGTCTCTCACGTCATCAAGTAGATGAACCGCCTCCCGGTTGGCTCAATGGATAGAGCGCTGGACTGTTGTGCGGGAGGCCGAGGGTTCGAGCCCCAGGCGGACCAACACTCAAAGGTCATACAATAATTGAGAAGAATGTGCTACCTTTATCTAACATCAAGGAATGGTTAGATATTCTAGTCTTCTCAGATAGGGATGAATAAACGGAGGTCCTGTCTCCTGCAGGGTTGGGGGTAGGAGACGTTAATTTCCCACACACGAGATTACTGTGTGATGGATGTCCTCCCCTGGGGTGGGATGGGTGGGTTTACTATGGGTATCCACCCCCGCCAAAAGTCAAACTTGTTGTTCAAACATTTAGTTGTTCAATTCAAACATTCAATTCGTCACTTCAAACATCCAATTCGTCAATCAAACATTCAATTTGTCAAATCAAATATTCAATTCGTCCTTGAAACATTCAATTCGGCGATTCAAACGTCCAATTCGTCAAATCAAATATTCAATTCTTCATTTGAAACATTCAACTCGGCAATCCAAACGTCCAATTCGTCAAATCAAACATTCAATTCGTTACTTGAAACATTCAACTCGGCAATTCAAACGTCCAATTCGTCAAATCAAAGATTCATTTCTTCACTTGAAACACTCAATTCCGCAATTTAAACGTGCCATTCGGCAATTCAAAGATTCAAACGTCCCATTCGGCAATTTAAAGATTCAATTTATCAATCGAATATTCACTTCGTCATTTCAGACATTCGATTCGTTAATTCCAACATTCAATTCGACAATGCGCCGGTTGAAATATCAATTCTGACATTCGATCGGCGTTTCGACGATCCAATTCCTACATTCGGTAATATTGATATTCAATCAGTACTTTGAACATTCACTCTCGACGTTGAAAGTTTGACATTCACTTTCGACATTCAAACTTTGAACATTCAAACTCAGCGTCCGTTTGGTCTGGGTACGAGAATGTGTCTCAGGCCTCTCTCCGTCTTTTTCGTGAAAAGGGCGCGAAATTTGTTGCTCTCCGGGTAGTTGTACTTTTCAGGCAATCGTCATGGCTGGCCGAGCACAGGGAACTTTTTGCAATTACCAGATAGGGAAAAAATGGTGAATTTATGGGTTTTGATTGGTATTTCCCAAACTGGGAAAATGCTACCAAAACCAATCTTGGGTTAAAAAAAACCCATTATATCTCTAAAGATGGGATAAACTTGACCCAATTTAAAGCCAGTAATGGGATTAAATTGACCCATTTTAAATCCAGTAATGGGTCTATATCAACCCATTTTTTACCCAGTAATGGGATAAATTTGACCCAGCTTTAACCCAACAATGGGATTAAATTGACCCAGTTTTAACCCAGTAATGGGAAAAATTGACCCAGTTTAAACCCAGCAATGGGATTAAATTGACCCAGTATAAACCCAGCAATGGGATAAATTGGACCCAGTTTAAACCCGGTAATGTGATAAATTTGACCCAATTTAAACCCAGCAATGGGATGAATTTGACCCTGTTTAAACCCAGTAATGGGATAAATTTGACCCAGTTTAAACCCAGTAATGGGATAAATTTGACCCAATTTAAAACCAGTAATGTGATTAAATTGACCCAGTTTAAACCCAGTAATTGGATTAGACTGACCCAGTTTAGCATTTTGTTTCACAGATTAATTAAATCATGCTCATACAATAACAGAGAACAGCTTTACAGTTGTATAGATATAGTGAACAGTTATTTTGATTTGTTTAGAAACTAAGTAACAACAAAACAATGCTCTTTGTATTCTTGCTATTTTTTTTTCACATGAAATACTCAAGAGAGCAATTTCTTTGTGTACTGCAATGTCTTCCATTTTTAGGTTTGTAATGTTTATCTCTGGCTCATCCTTGATTGAACAGTATCTCTGATTTACAAGTTTCTTAGCTAATACCTCCATCAGCTGGGTCATTGTTAATGATGTAAGTCTTACTAGCCTATTGAATGTTGGAATTGACAAATCGAATGTCTGAAAAGACGAAGTGAATGTTCGATTGATAAATTGAATCTTTGAATTGCCGAATGGGACGTTTGAATCTTTAAATTGCCGAATGGCACGATTGAATTGCGGAATTGAGTGTTGCAAGTGAAGAATTCAATGTTTGATTTGACGAATTGGACGTTTGGATTGCCGAGTTGAATGTTTCAGGTGACGAATTGAATATTTGATTTGACGAATTGGACGTTTGAATTGCCGAGTTGAATCGAGGCGGCCCAAGCTCTCTTTGAGAACCACCCAAGGAACACAATTTATAAGGATTTGTATGGGATTTTCTACAAGATATCCACAGAGATAGTTAAAAGTGAAAATATGAAATAAAAATAACTTACCTTGTTCCATTAGTGTGTTGTTTGCTCCTGGTGTCATTTTACCGATTTCACTTGATTTAAGCGATTTTTTGGAATCCTGGTTTTCTACCACATAAGGAGAAGACAAGCCCAAACACTTCTGTCCGGACAGCCTGCCGAACGAAGTAAAAAATCCCAAGATAAAATGTACCCACGGTCACAAATCCACTGCAGAATTCAAGGGCAAAGGTTGATCTTTCATTTCAATTCTCTAGCCACGCAATCTCAGCCCGGCGATCGGCGCCAGGCGGCTCTTCGTGTCCTCAGTGAAACGCTAAAACGATTGTAGACGTCCGCGTACATTCGAACCACGACACAACGACCGTTGAAATCGGGTTGGTAACCTCGTCGTGTTAGCAAACCAAGATAATTTGGATATATATATCAACAACGTTGAAATGGTAAATTAGCCACCGTAACGATTACAAAAGCTGACGTTTCGAGCGTTAGCCCTTCGTCGGAGCGAATGACGAAGGGCTAACGCTCGAAACGTCAGCTTTTGTAATCGTTACGGTGGCTAATTTACCATTTCAACGTTGTTGATATATATATCCAAATTATCTTGGTTTGCTAACACGACGAGGTTACCAACCCGATTTCAACGGTCGTTGTGTCGTGGTTCGAATGTACGCGGACGTCTACAATCGTTTTAGCGTTTCACTGAGGACACGAAGAGCCGCCTGGCGCCGATCGCCGGGCTGAGATTGCGTGGCTAGAGAATTGAAATGAAAGATCAACCTTTGCCCTTGAATTCTGCAGTGGATTTGTGACCGTGGGTACATTTTATCTTGGGATTTTTTACTTCGTTCGGCAGGCTGTCCGGACAGAAGTGTTTGGGCTTGTCTTCTCCTTATGTGGTAGAAAACCAGGATTCCAAAAAATCGCTTAAATCAAGTGAAATCGGTAAAATGACACCAGGAGCAAACAACACACTAATGGAACAAGGTAAGTTATTTTTATTTCATATTTTCACTTTTAACTATCTCTGTGGATATCTTGTAGAAAATCCCATACAAATCCTTATAAATTGTGTTCCTTGGGTGGTTCTCAAAGAGAGCTTGGGCCGCCTCGATTCAACTCGGCAATTCAAACGTCCAATTCGTCAAATCAAATATTCAATTCGTCACCTGAAACATTCAACTCGGCAATCCAAACGTCCAATTCGTCAAATCAAACATTGAATTCTTCACTTGCAACACTCAATTCCGCAATTCAATCGTGCCATTCGGCAATTTAAAGATTCAAACGTCCCATTCGGCAATTCAAAGATTCAATTTATCAATCGAACATTCACTTCGTCTTTTCAGACATTCGATTTGTCAATTCCAACATTCAATAGGCTAGTAAGACTTACATCATTAACAATGACCCAGCTGATGGAGGTATTAGCTAAGAAACTTGTAAATCAGAGATACTGTTCAATCAAGGATGAGCCAGAGATAAACATTACAAACCTAAAAATGGAAGACATTGCAGTACACAAAGAAATTGCTCTCTTGAGTATTTCATGTGAAAAAAAAATAGCAAGAATACAAAGAGCATTGTTTTGTTGTTACTTAGTTTCTAAACAAATCAAAATAACTGTTCACTATATCTATACAACTGTAAAGCTGTTCTCTGTTATTGTATGAGCATGATTTAATTAATCTGTGAAACAAAATGCTAAACTGGGTCAGTCTAATCCAATTACTGGGTTTAAACTGGGTCAATTTAATCACATTACTGGTTTTAAATTGGGTCAAATTTATCCCATTACTGGGTTTAAACTGGGTCAAATTTATCCCATTACTGGGTTTAAACAGGGTCAAATTCATCCCATTGCTGGGTTTAAATTGGGTCAAATTTATCACATTACCGGGTTTAAACTGGGTCCAATTTATCCCATTGCTGGGTTTATACTGGGTCAATTTAATCCCATTGCTGGGTTTAAACTGGGTCAATTTTTCCCATTACTGGGTTAAAACTGGGTCAATTTAATCCCATTGTTGGGTTAAAGCTGGGTCAAATTTATCCCATTACTGGGTAAAAAATGGGTTGATATAGACCCATTACTGGATTTAAAATGGGTCAATTTAATCCCATTACTGG